ACAAGACACCCACAAACTTTCATCTTTACCCTCCCTCACTCAATACACGCCATAATATCCTTCCGCTATCTGACGAATTCTTTTGGTGATTGTACGAATCTCAACGATACAGTCAAGCCCTACAAAAGTTACAATCTTAGGTGATTCTACTACTATTACTGTCACTGTGAATAAAAATCTTCACCCTTTGATGTTCTTGAATAATGAGTACTACTACTACTACTACTACTAATAAGCAAGTTCAGTTGGTACCCTTGCGATCCTGTTTGAGTTAGATTCTCAACTCCTCCTCAAACGAGATCATCAACAGGTACTGTTTGTTTAATCTCTTTCTTTCTTTTTTTTAATTATTAAAATATCGGAAAAACTATTTGAAACATGAGTTGTTATTAAAAATTAACAAATGAATTATTGCTTCTTTCTTTGAAAATGGAACCACGTAGTAATATTGCATGTTCACGTTTCTCCCATCTTCCTTTCATACTTGCAGTCTAAAAAAAAAAAAAAAGGGAGTCTGGAGGTCCGGAGCTTATCAATCTGCAGTTTTGTAAGTATTTCTAATGATGTCCTTTATGGTAATTATACAAATGGTATATATCATAACTTGTCCTTTATAATCATTTCACTTAAGGTTAAAATTATAATAAAAAATAAATTAATTAATGGTGTGCCTTGAGAGGAAATGTAGTGTGTAAATAGAGCCTCTCAATCCACACCTGAGGTTTTCTTCCATATTGTGCCCTTTTATTTTGTATAATTTATTAATTTGTAACCTATAATTTGACTTTCCCATTTTACCATTTTCTTTGGTAATACTGTCACACCCCAAACTCGGGTATGACCGGCCATGGCCCACAGGGACTTAGCCCAAGGCACAAGTAAGCCAATACATGAACCCAAAATCACAAAGAATAAATGTGATGATAGCCCAGAAATAAATAAATCAAACCCAACAGTGACAAGTCACAAGTATAAATGGTAAAACCAACCATAACCAACTTCCAAAAATATATACTAAATGAAATACAAATCGCCCATAAAATAAAATAATTCTAAATAAAAATCCCACCACAATGTATGCACAAAACTCGACATAACAAACTAAAACAAAATAATGAATGTCTTAGAGGTCTATGCAATTGAGTCCCCGCTACGCCATGAGTCCAGTCTAAGTCCTTCTAACACTTGGAAATGGTAAACAACTAAGTCAACTGATAGCTCAGTGAGTAGCAACATGGATAGTATATACAGTTTTGCAAACAGGGTTCAATTCCAAAATAATATATATATCACAGAAACTAAATTGGCATACAGTTTGGTAAAGGCAATCTGTTTCAAAAAGAAGGTTCCACAGTTCAACACTTAAAATACTCATGTCTCGCAAGAACATGATAAATGACATTTTTCACTTAAAACAAATTATAACATGAACACTAATAATTTTCTGGGTACCAAGAAAATAACAAGTAATATGCCACACAGTTCTCAAGGCTATAAGCCCCGTTGGATCCAATACCGAACTAAAAGTCATCCTCAGGGTCGCAACCCGGGCCTTTTCTCAAAGACGATCCGATTGAAGGTCACCTAGCTTAACCTAGGTCTTTTCCTTACAATTGTTGAGCACTAGAGTCATCACGGCCCAACCTGGATCTGTTCCCTAGTGGCCAGAGTCACCACACACAGTGGAATAATTTCCCTAGACTAAATACACAGATGGTCCCAATAATCAATACACATCAGTTTCCCAATAACCAATAATCATTATAAACATGAGACCAAAACAAATAGTTTACAATATGCCGAGTTCACACATGTTTCAGAAATAATTTGATTCCATTGATAATATAATAATTTATCAAAACAGTTCAGTTATGAAACAACAATTTAATTTTCCAACAGTTCAGGGTAGGGGAATATTTATAAAAATATGTAGCATGAAACAACTCACCTAAAAACGAAATAATATAATCCTTGAATAAAGTATGAAAGTCCAACTAGTGCCCTGAACCAAGTATGAAGACTACACGTCACTACTAATTTAAAAATACTAAAGAGAATAATAAACTAAGTAACCCCAAACTAAAGCGCACTAACACGGCTCAACCCAACTCATCATTACTCTTAAATATTACCTAAGTTCATGTTCTTCACGGTCTAAAATCAACCAAGACATGGGTTCAAATCGAAACTTAATAAAAAGTAACTTTAAAATAAAACAGAATTTTAAACTAGTTTTCCCAAATCTATTAGCTAACTTTGAAAATTAAAAACCCACTCCACGTTGTTCGAAAAATTCTAAAACCCTTCAGATATCAACTAATATATCCTAAGTTTCAAACCCAATTGGTTTCACTTGATTTGCTTATCAAAATAATTATCTACAATTAATTATATCTAAACAGATTGTTTTCTGCAGCACTTTAAAGAAATTGACGGTTCTCTTAGTATACACGAGCAATCAATGCAAGGTCAAAAATGCAAGAAGCTAGACTCGTAACCGGTTCTAATGACGCTGATTTGATAATTTTTGGATTTATACCCAAAGAGAACAACACTCTCGAATTTACTATTAAAAACCAGTTTTCTGGACAGATTTGAACACATCAGTTTATATGGATTTTGACTCCCAAAAATTATGAAAAAATTCAGGTATGCAATTCAATATGTAATTGATCTACTGTAAAATTTCAATTTAAAATTCACTCATTTGATATGGTTTCTTGATTTTTAAAGTTTGCTATTCTGTGCAAAATTTTTGAACTAAGAATTACAACCATTCTTTACACATAAAACGCTATCCCAATCAGCCAAATATTTCATAGCCATGCCCAACACAAATACCTACTTCACCGATTTGATCCATCAACTACACAGCAACTCACAAGAAGAAGAAAAAGATAGTGAAGGAATAAAAATAATAAGGGATTTACCTTGCCAATGGCCACCACAAAACTCAACAATTTTCGACACTTTTCACCCAATGACCTAGATGTCTCTCTCCCTCTCTTTACCTTTCATGATTGCTCAGAAAGTTGTGGGAAAACAATATCATACGAATTAGGGTTTGTGTTTATTTTATTTATACTAGTGGTGGGCACACATAGGTCAAATAAATAGATAAATATACAAAATACATATATAAGTTATATGCAACTCAAATGGTAAAGCCTTATTTATTAAGTTTGTGGTCCAGAGTTCAAGTCACACCCTCCTCTCTATTTATTTTGTTTTTTTTTTTAGATACTAAATCTTGCCTCTAAATTAAAGACATTCACCATAAATTCATTTTAGGTTTAAAAAATTAATTAAAAGATCCTCCAATAATATTTAATTTGCACTTTAGGATTCACCACCAAAATATTTGAGATTGTAATATTATTATTTAATTATTTACTTAATTTTTATATTTGGGTTCTCAGAAATACTTACCAATATTATTGGTGGTACTAATTTGATTGAAGGGTTTTTCGTAATAATGCAAAGATTTTTGGTCAGTTATGACATATAAATATTTTGGTTTTGGGTAAATTATAAATACACCCCTGAAATTTGTTTAAAATATGAAATGTCCCTACAATTAGGATTGGGTGTAAAATCTCGTATTTTTGATCTATTAATATTTTAATGAGTGGTATTGGTGATTTACTATAATAGTTTAGTGGTGAAATTTTTAGATGGTAATCTAATTTAATTTATTTTCTTTGTATGTATTTTATCTTTTTTTTATATCTATCTCATTGTTATTCATCCCCATTTGAAAATAAATTTATCAGATTTTCCCCACCTTTTTCCCATATCTTTCGGTGGAAATTAAGAAGAATGGAGCATACGAGCAGAGGAAAAGGCTACAGTGGTGTTGAAAGGAGCAAATGGAGCAATAGAGGTGCTGACGGTGGATGGAAACCAATTTTGCATGGGAAAAACAGAGTCACACAGAAGAGAGGTAGTGTTTCAGAGACGTTCTCATTATTCGTGGACAACTTACCAATGAATATGAATCCAAAAGATCTCTACTATCTGTTCATGAAGTTTGGAGTGGTTAGAGATGTTTTCATCCCAAACAAAACTAGAAAAGGTGCAAGGTCAAGATTTGGTTTTGTTAGATACAACTGTACTGTTGCTGCTAATGTGTCCATTCAAAAAGCTATCAGGCTCTGGTGCGATAACAAAGCTTTAAGGGTGAAAATGGCGGATTATGGCAAAGAAAAGGATCACATAAAGACTAATAAACACAAAGTTATTGAGGTTCCTGTGAATGACAAACCAATGGCCGGGATGGAAGGGAAGAGATCGTACGCTGAGGTGGTTCAGAAGGGTGGTAGGAGGAGTAGTGAAGGGCTATCCATCATGGCGTATGAAGAAGGGAATGGGTGGCTTTATGAAAGTGTGATAGTGAAGCTCAAAAAGCTATTATTCTTTCTCTGAGTTTAAGCACGCAATTCAGGAAAGAGATGGGTTGAATGTAATGGTTAGGAAGAGTGGAGGAAGGGCGGCAAATTATCACGTTTCAATCTAAAGCTATCATGAAGGAGAAGATGATAAACCTACAAGAATGGCTTGAGGTCTGGCGCGATGTTGTGACAGAATGGTCAAAAGGAACACACATAGAGCATGAAAGAGCTATTTGGCTCAGCTGTTATGGTGTTCCTTTGAATTTGTGGAGTTGTAACATGTTCGAACAAATAGCTAGCCTATGGGGAGAAGTGCTTAAAATCGAAGATGAGAGTGCGCATCTTTCTTCATTTAAGTGTGGCAGGATTAAAGTAGCAACATGGTGTGTGGATTTGATTAAGTGTGGCAGATTAAAGTAGCAACATGGTTTCTCAAAACTAATCTGCACGCTTGCATGTGATAGTCAAGTGTTCTGAAATTCAGTTCCTTTCTATCTAATCAAGTAGCTGACATTTTTAGGCAACCCAAAATAAGAAATTCTTTGAAAGTATATGAGCAAAATTTAGATAATACATTCAGTTTAATGCTAGGGATGACCGACCAAAAACTAACAAAAAAATCCAGCATTCCATAGAAGTAGTTTCTTACAAAATATAGAAAACAATTCTCCTCAAAAGGTTATAAACCCTTTTAACATACTCCATCTATTATCTATAAAATAAGTACATATCAAGCAGAGCACAAAAACACAATCAGCACTCTGCTTGCCTGCTTAGATATGACCACTTAACTAGCATTACTTGGCACAGATTGTCAATAGCAACCCATAATGATCACTAGGAAAAACAGGGAGCATCATGTGCACCTTGTTTTTCTCTTTCTTCTCCTTGCAATATGATAGACCTGGTATTGCCTCCATGCCAATCCTTTCTATTCTTCTTAGCTTGAAATCACGCAAATTGCATACAAATCGATCAAGTCGCTTTTGCACAGGCCAATCACCATAAAGCATCTTGTTGGATTTGGTATCATATGTCCATCCATTTTCTCCTGGCTTTAACTGCACCCAGGCATCAACCCATCCATTGGGCAAAGGAAATTGACCATCCAAATCGTCATCCCAATTCATGTCACCACAAAAAATCACGTTTACCTTTTTCTTAAGAAAGGCCAGTGCTTCCTTCGCCTGATCAACACGTTCCTTGCTGAACTTCTGATCCCCAGGGCCAGGACCAGGGCCTTTAAGATGGCTAGTGGCAACAACCAATGGCATGTCTGCCTGAACCTCAAACTTGGCGACACAAAGTTTTCTTTCCATTGTGGAATTACGTAATGGTATACTGTGGTATGATTTAACTGGTAGTTTACTTAACTGCAAGTTATGTGGTGTAACGGCATCAGATCTTACTTCACTATTAACTACAAAAACTCATCCAGAGATTTTAATAAATAAATAAAATGAGGCAAATGATGTATAACCATGAGAGAGAGAGAGAGAGAGAGAGAGAGAGATGACCAGGCTTGCAAATTTGTTGAATCACAAGTTACTGGTCAGAATATGAAGATTTTTTATAATATTCAAATAGAGGAAGATTTTGGAAATTTTGGACATCTATTCTAATATTTTTATAATTGATCAGCTAGATGCATACAGTTGCGTGAATGGGTCAATTTCCTTGACCCTAGACATCCCTCTTTCAAGAAAACCAGAAATAAAAAATGATACGGAAAAGTCATAAGAATCTCACCTGCATGCAGAAGGATCTGCTTTTATATTCCATCACATTTGAAACTGAGCAATGGTACAAGTTCCACCAGCTGGATTGTTGAAAAATGTCATAGATTTTCAAAGTAACCTCCTGCAGGGAAAAATGAACTTAAAAACAATGAAAAGTCATAAAAGCTCTATGTTACATGGCACAAGGAAATGGAAATGTGGAGAACCTGGAAGCATATCAGATCAGGGGAATGCAACTGAATAAGGCCACCCACAGCTTTCATCCTCTTATGAATTTCCAAGTCTTCTCGGAAACAAACATTATAACTCAAAATCTTCAATGTTCTCGAAGTACTTCCCGTTCCTGAGAAAGATTCAACTGCAACTGTCAAAAAAAAAAAAACTAAATCTTCACTTACATGCAACTTGTAAATCCTAGGATTCGAAAACCACAGATGCACAAAAGAGGAAAAAGAAATAACTGTAAGTACAAAATCCTGCCATAAATCTTCAAACGTCCTAATATTAGACATATTGAGTATCTAATATAATAAGAACTCACGAATTGCGTTCTGATCCAACTTTTATCTAATCACCTGGTTTGTTGAAAAGTCTATTTTGTTCTACTTATTTGCAACCCATATCAACCCAAACAGCGACCCTTGGCAACTGAAATTATATTTGAGATCTGTACTTTCAGCTCATATCAGCTTAAGAAATTCTTCAGAGACAATTAAATTAATATTAGCTAACTTCTCCGTTCCAGATACATGTGATTTCTAATAATAATTGTTAGGCGCATGCACTTCTTATTATGTGTGCTTGAACCATTTGAAAAAAGCTGTACAACAAACCAAGGCTGGTTTGAGATGACTGTAATGTTATAGAAAGCCTCAAAAGGTTTAAGTAGGTAAATCCACGAAATTAATCTTAGTACTATCCTAGTCCCTTTTTAACCAACATGGTGAACAATCATATCATGTAATAGTGAGGGTTTATCGAGGCACACGAGAGTAATAATACAAGAACAATCACTTCAAATCATGATTTAAAAAATTGGATAAATTACATTCACTTCTCCAAAGATATGAAAATAAAATATTATATTAGTTTCACAGTTTTACAAACCTCCCTTTTAACTAATGCAGATGGTGAATAAACATTGAAATAAATAAAAGACAAATATACATTTTAGTAAAAAAAAAAAAAGATGACATTTCATTTCTTTTTCTTTTTTATTCATATGACTAACGAATTACTTAGAAGCAACCAATGTAATTATGTCAAAACTATAGAGTTACTTGTAATCCATGCTTCAGGGAGTTTACTATAATTTGACAAAAATAAATAAATAAATTCAAATCAGATCATGCCATAAAATATACCAAAAATCAGAAGGAACCCAGATAAAATGAGAATTGATGATGAAAGGGAGCGAACCAGGTTCAGTATAGTAATTATACAGTGTCCGAGAAACCTGTACTGCCGCATATGAAGCAATGGCAACTTTGGCCAAACCTCCCAGCAAAGAACGCCAATCATAAGTTTCTGTCATTGAAGAAGAAGAAGACATAGCAGACCTATCCCGAGACAAAGATGGCTTGTTGAATTTGTGTGACTGATCAAATTCAGAGACAATTGAAGGCTTAAGCCTTATCTCCTCTTCTTCCAACTCCCTAACAGCTTTCTCAACGCTCGGTAGAAATAATCGACACAGTATAGACCTTCTAATCGGCTCAAATTCATCTCTCAAAGCAATAAGAAACTGCACAAGACGTTGTTCATCTCGATTCTTTTTGTAACTGCTTAGCAAACTCAAATCTCTATCCTCAAGCTTGGCTTGTTGATTCCACAAACCAACCATTACACCATGAAACTCTTTGATTGTTCTATCTCCTTGTTTGGTTGCTCTAATCTGAGTCTCCAATTGCTCTAATCTGAGTCTCCAATTGGAGTGACCATATAGCTCAGCCAAATAGTCCCAAGACTCTTTGCCTGATTTGAAGCTCCGTAATTGAATCGAAACTGAAGGATTGAGTACATATATACAGATCATGTTCAAGATCTCTGCATTCTTAGTTTTCCATTGTTGAGAGAGATTTGTGAAGTTTTCATGGCCTGGATTGGGCTCTGTTACAATGCCGCAAACATAGTCCCAAAGTTGTCTGCGAGTTTGGATCATGTGCTGGCTCATAAGGTGTGACCAGATTTGATAATTTGAACCATCTTGCTTGAGCATGACTACCTCATCAGCATCCATGATCAAGAACAATTTCTCAAGACCAAAAACAAAATAGAAGAAAGATTTCGGATCAAAGTGATGACTTGAATGAAGATGAGCAAATAAAGATGAAATGAGATGGAGTGGAAGTAGTAGTAGTAGTGGTGGTGGTGGTGTTGAATGACAGTGTGAAATATCAAAGGAATAATAGGTTGAGGACTGTGTTACTTGTAACCGAAGACTTGACGTGGAAGGTTATACAGAGAAAATGGTGGGGTCAGGTAGTGAAAAGATGGTGCGTTGTTATTGGACAGCTTTAGACAGTGGACGTGGGCGGTGTACTTTAATTTGTTCTGGTTTCAGAATAAAATTATAATCAAATTTTTCAACAGTTAATTATTTAAATTTAATTTGATAACTTTAATTAATTTTAAAATTTGTTTAAGTTTAGTTCATTAAATTCTCGATTCAATTTCAAACGAACTTTTATCGAGTTAAGCTTAAATAATTTGATATTTTATATAATTTTTCTTAATTTTCTCACTCAATTACATTATACTGATACTTTCTTCACTAACAACTCTAAAAATAAACCTGGCCTAAGTGTCCTAATGGAGACCTGTCTCAGAAGTCATGCATTCACGTTCATGAATTTGGAGCACATTAATATTGATTGAGATTTTGATGGAAATCATAGTACTAGGCTGTTTGATGTTTAAAGCCACTTTACAAAGACAAAGGAAAAAGGTCTCCTTCCGACTTTAAAATGAATAATTGAAGAGACAGAGAACCTTTGCTTCAGTCCTAGGAAATGGAAATGTATATTATTTGTTTGGTGTGTATACTCAGCGGGAAGTTACATGGTACACACCCTATATTTGTTTTTGTGGTGTGTTTTGTATTTTTGTAGTAAATCTTACATATTTTTCTAATAGGAGTTATGACAATTTATGGTTCGCGTTATATATTTTTGTAGTAATGTTACATATTTTATGGTATTGTTACACATTTTGTAATTGGAAAATGTTTGAATAAAAATATGTGTAACATTACCACAAAAATGCGTACCACCACCATATGCGTAACTTCATTTCCGAAACACAAATTATCATACCTACCAGAAAATATGTAATATTTATTATAAAAATACATAACATTTACTACAAAAATACGTAACAGTAACATATGGTGCAAACCCTTTGAAGGGGTGTGTACCATAGCATTTCTCATACTCAGCTTTACTAATACTAGTATATGTATTATAATTTGGGTTATTTATATTAATATTCTCTCAACTATTAACGAATATCATTTTATTTCTCTTATTTGCGAATTCTTATTTTTTGACTCCATTAACTATAAAAATGTATCATTTTTAGCTCTTGTAGACCCTTTTTAAAAGGAGTGTATTTGTACGATTTTTAAGAACTAAATTAATACATTTTCCTAAAATAAAAAATAATAATTGACAAAAATAAGTCACTGAGGTTGCATACAAATGTGTCTAGCTACTTTTATTGATACTTTTTGGCAAAATTGGAGTGACCATATAGCTCAGCCAAATAGTCCCAAGCCTCTCTGCCTGATTTGAAGCTCCGTAATTGAATCGAAACTGAAGGATTGAGTACATATATACAGATCATGTTCAAGATCTCTGCATTCTTACTTTTCCATTGTTGAGAGAGATTTGTGAAGTTTTCATGGCCTGGACTGGGCTCTGTTACAATGCCGCAAACATAGTCCCAAAGTTGTCTGCGAGTTTGGATCATGTGCTGGCTCATAAGGTGTGACCAGATTTGATAATTTGAACCATCTTGCTTGAGCATGACTACCTCATCAGCATCCATGATCAAGAACAATTTCTCAAGACCAAAAACAAAATAGAAGAAAGATTTCGGATCAAAGTGATGACTTGAATGAAGATGAGCAAATAAAGATGAAATGAGTTGGAGTGGAAGTAGTAGTAGTAGTGGTGGTGGTGGTGGTCGTCAGTAGTAGTAGTGGTCGTGGTAGTAGTAGTGGTAGTAGTAGTGGTAGTCGTAGTGGTAGTAGTAGTGGTAGTAGTAGTGGTAGTAGTAGTAGTAGTGGTAGTCGTGGTGGTGGTCGTAGTAGTAGTGGTAGTAGTAGTAGTGGTAGTAGTAGTAGTAGTGGTAGTAGTAGTGGTAGTAGTAGTAGTAGTAGTAGTGGTAGTAGTAGTAGTGGTAGTAGTAGTAGTAGTAGTGGTAGTAGTAGTAGTGGTGGTAGTAGTAGTAGTAGTAGTAGTAGTAGTAGTGGTCGTGGTAGTAGTAGTGGTAGTAGTAGTGGTAGTAGTAGTGGTCGTGGTAGTGGTCGTGGTAGTGGTCGTGGTAGTAGTAGTGGTAGTGGTAGTGGTAGTAGTAGTGGTCGTGGTAGTGGTAGTGGTCGTGGTAGTGGTAGTGGTAGTGGTAGTAGTAGTAGTAGTAGTAGTGGTCGTGGTAGTATTATATGTTAACAGGTGTTTGGCCTCGTGGGTGTGCCTTTACAGAGTCTTTACATATTATATGTTAACAGCCTTTACATATTATATGTTAACAGGTGTTTGGCCTCGTGGGTGTGCCTTTACAGAGTCTTTACATATTATATGTTAACAGCCTTTACATATTATATGTTAACAGGTGTTTGGCCTCGTGGGTGTGCCTTTACAGAGTCTTTACATATTATATGTTAACAGCCTTTACATATTATATGTTAACAGGTGTTTGGCCTCGTGGGTGTGCCTTTACAGAGTCTTTACATATTATATGTTAACAGCCTTTACATATTATATGTTAACAGGTGTTTGGCCTCGTGGGTGTGCCTTTACAGAGTCTTTACATATTATATGTTAACAGCCTTTACATATTATATGTTAACAGGTGTTTGGCCTCGTGGGTGTGCCTTTACAGAGTCTTTACATATTATATGTTAACAGCCTTTACATATTATATGTTAACAGGTGTTTGGCCTCGTGGGTGTGCCTTTACAGAGTCTTTACATATTATATGTTAACAGCCTTTACATATTATATGTTAACAGGTGTTTGGCCTCGTGGGTGTGCCTTTACAGAGTCTTTACATATTATATGTTAACAGCCTTTACATATTATATGTTAACAGGTGTTTGGCCTCGTGGGTGTGCCTTTACAGAGTCTTTACATATTATATGTTAACAGCCTTTACATATTATATGTTAACAGGTGTTTGGCCTCGTGGGTGTGCCTTTACAGAGTCTTTACATATTATATGTTAACAGCCTTTACATATTATATGTTAACAGGTGTTTGGCCTCGTGGGTGTGCCTTTACAGAGTCTTTACATATTATATGTTAACAGCCTTTACATATTATATGTGTGGGTGTGTTTGGCCTCGTGGGTGTGCCTTTACAGAGCCTTTACATATTATATGTTAACAGGTGTTTGGCCTCGTGGGTGTGCCTTTATAGAGCCTTTACATATTATATGTATTTACATATTATATGTTAACAGGAGTTAAGACAATTTATGGTTCACGTTATATATTTTTATAGTAATGTTACATATTTTATGGTATTGTTACACATTTTGTAATTGGAAAATGTTTGAATAAAAATATGTGTAACATTACCAAAAAAATGCGTACCACCACCATATGCGTAACTTCATTTCCGAAACACAAATTATCATACCTACCAGAAAATATGTAATATTTATTATAAAAATACATAACATTTACTACAAAAATACGTAACAGTAACATATGGTGCACACCCTTTGAAGGGGTGTGTACCATAGCATTTCTCATACTCAGCTTTACTAATACTAGTATATGTATTATAATTTGGGTTATTTATATTAATATTCTCTCAACTATTAACGAAGATTATTTTATTTCTCTTATTTGTGAATTCTTATTTTTTGACTCCATTAACTATAAAAATGTATCATTTTTAGCTCTTGTAGACCTTTTTTAAAAGGAGTGTATTTGTACGATTTTTAAGAACTAAATTAATACATGATCCTAAAAATAAAAAAATAATTGACAAAAATAAGTCATTGAGGTTGCATACAAATGTGTCTAGCTACTTTTGCAGGAGCCAATTACCAGACAACATTGAGTTTGACTCATTATCGAATGTCCGTCAGCTTTCCCTTGGTCTTAGCTTCCCTTGGTCTTAGCTACGACCAGGCATCAACCCATCTGGAAAACAGTGGAAATGCTCCATCCAACTCATCGTCCCAATTCATGTCGCCACAGAAAATCATGTTTGAAGAATTATTGAGGTCGTTAAGAGCCTGCTTTGCCTATGCTACACGTTCCTCGCTTAAGGATATAATTAGAACTGAAATCCTATAACATGTTTGCATTGTTGCAGCAGTGGTGTATGACTTGAAGTGAAGTTTGATTTTCCAACAGGTTGACAGCAATCACACAGGCCTCAAGCTTCAGAGGGTTATTTGTCAATGTAACAATATAGTTGTCTTGGCACTGTTAACATTCAGAACTAAGAAAAATTGAGTACATCAAAACAAAGATATATGCAACTAGCATAAGTCAAATCATTTTCTCTGTACTGAAAGAACATAGGAAGAAATCCATTTATGTTCAGATTTTTTAAACTATTGAATTGATGGTTTCGTAAGAACCAATTAGGAAAAACATTTGCAAATAGTCATAGCAAATTCAGAATTCCTAAGAGGTCATATTTAAGATGAAACATTACAACTTAAAAACTTCTTTGTCTGCGTAAAAATATGAAGCCTCAACTTCTCAAGTGATTTTCATTAGTATTTTAAATGTATATTACAGATGAAAAGCAAATGATAATGCAAATGCCAGAGGATCTACTCCCAGATAGAAGAAAACAGATAATTGTACCTGAATCTGTTCCATTCATAAATAAACCCCATAAATCCACATGTCTAAAGGCGAGCCGAGTTTTATCCAAAGTGTGTAATATTACATTCTTGTGTGCATCAACATGGATCTATTAAGAGCCTAATTTCCAACAAGTTATACAAACTAACAAGGAACTTTGCCTGTCTCATATGTGTTTGATGAGTGCAGGTTGACAAGAAGTATCAATACACAATGGACAACGAACACAGTAGAGTCCATGGAAGGATAACTTTGGGTACAGTTGTTAAATTCTAGATCATCTTTCCCAGCCATGAGTTTCCCAATGGTGGACCAAGCAAAATCCCGCCATCCACACCGGTCCAACTTGCCTTGCAGTATCTCTCACATTGTAAGATTTTAATTGCAATTTTTCTCAAGCATTCAACATGTATAAACAATAAATCACAAAAGATTGCAAG